GACCGGGCATGAAGAATTCCTCGAGAAGAGGAATCGAAACGCAGCCACCACAGGGATTCGAGTTTCAATATCGGAATTGCTCGCAATAAATTGGAGATTTCTCTGACCTCTCGCACAGACTAGCAAATAGAACTTGGTTTCGAGTTTTCGAATAAAAAAATTCGCGATAAACAGATCGAAAAATTCGAATTTAATTAAAAGAGGATTCCTTACAAATGGGTTTTTATAAGGAATCATTTCTAGGTAACTGAATATTTTAAACATGTAGAATACATTAATGAAGCTTGATTTTTTTTTATTATATTTAAGATCTATTTCTTATTAAGAATTAATTTATTATTATTCAGAAATTAAGATTTTTGTAACAATACAAACTCGAAATAAATATTCTAGAAAGATATAATAAGATAGATATGAAAAATGGAAAGACAATAAGAAGTTTAACTCATGAAGATTTTTATATAAATTTATAATCGATTGAAACAAGTTAATTTCTGAAAGATGATAGAATGTTTGAGAAACATTCATCTCATTTTTGTTATAAAATTTTAAAAAATATTTCTGTAAGAATTGAGATCTAAATTAACCAAAATATAAGAGATTATTATTATATTTGACTGTAGAATTTGTATTATAAATAGCATAGATTATCGTCATCAGCCAAAGAATATATTTTAATAGCATTTCGAATATTAATACAACCGAGATTTGAATATTATCAAGTATCGTTATTGTTGTTACGAATATTATTTCCAAATACTACCATAGAATATTGGACTATTATCAAATATTATATGTAGAACATTATTATCTCAATTATCGTAAACAAGAACTTGTATTCATTTATGTATTAACTATTCTAAAATTTTAACTACTCTGGTATTATTTATCTTGTTAATTTAACCTTTTGCCAATGAATTTATTAAAACCATTAGAAAGAAAAATAATCATTTTTTATTCTTCTCTTATATTTATTTAAAATACATGTTTCTTTTAGAAATATTCTTAAATGAAACAAAAATTAAATGTACATTATACATGCCAACTTTTTAGGTGATTAATAATTTTACATTATTCAATAATATTCAATAATAAAGATTAATAATTAATTGCGCGATAATAATCTTCAAGTCTTTGAGAATATAACACAGAAAATATTAATTTTAAGAGATTAAAATCAGGGAGGAGGATTCAAAGATTCATAAATCATATTTTAGATTTAAATTTCGTTAGAGGGAATTTCAATTCACACCAGTTTGAAATGAATTTAATACGATGAAAATTCATTTTCAAAAATCATATTATTCACATTGTTAATCTTTGAGAAGTCGGAAACGCCTCTCGTTTCGTGCGTCTTCTCGTATTTACTGTCTTTCGAAGTTCAGCCTTTCTTCGTCCCCGTGTATTCGTTTGCACGAAACTCCTTGCTCCAATATTTATGCACGCAACATTCACCGGAAAGTTTCGCTTCTATCAACTTCTCAGATTTGAAGTTTTAACTAAACTTCCACAATGAATAAATTGACACGCGGCTAACGCACTCTTACGAAACAATGAACCAACGATATCGACCTCTTATAATCCTGATTGAAATTTTTATAAAATTATCAATTAACTTTCGGGAAAGAGCAGAAAAAACGATCTTATTGAAACTTGATTAACATTTTCATGGCAAATCGTTTCAAGAAATATCCAAATACTTTGGCAAATATTTTGAAAACACTTGAAATGTTAATTATTAATTTCAAAAAAGAAATATAGATATTAATATTCTTCATATTTATGATTCAAATTTATATCATATTATTTAATTATCAATATTTATTATGAACAGTTTAATTTTTGTCTTACTTTTTGTACAAGTGCATACATCGTATCGTTCATTCAATAATTTCAAAAAAAGAGAGATGCATTTCATATTCCATTTTTCATGCTCTATTTCCACATCCTCTCTTATATTTTACTTTTAATTATTCCTGCAATTAAACATCTCTCGATGTAATTATATTCAGAACAGAAATTCAACATTCAGTAACGCAAGATGTAAAAATGTAATTTCGATATGTATTAAATTATTGCAGATGAAATGATTGACGATTCAAGTTTTAACGTTTTATAGATTTATTAAAAAAATAACGTCAATCAGCTTGATTAAATATATTCGATATTCTTATCGAAAAGCAAAATTAACATTATTACAATTAAATTCTTGTATCGATTTATTAATAATTCCTCCCTAATTTATTTTTCACATTTATATTTACCAATTTAAAATTTTCACATCAATGACAAATTATTTATTGCTTTAATATAATCTTTTCATAAATTTTATGATAATATAACAACAGCGACACTAGCGCCACATGATTATCAACTACTAAGACCCAATATATATATATATATATATAAATATATTGAATTACTAAATATTACTAAATTATCTATGCATATCTTTAATTATTTATCACTTTTCGTTATTTACAAACACGAGAAAAATATATTTTGTTAATTCTTGATATGAAAATTATACTCTTGGCAGCTACTTTTAAACATCTACAGAGAAAAATCACAATCGTCAACATATAATTCCACGCAAAATTCACACAATTATCCATAGTTCAATTATAACATTCGTTTCTACAACGAATCAATTATATTATTAATATAAAACCACATTTGAATCAACAACTTGATGCAATTTAACATTCTAATAATTACATAAACATCTAATCGGTTGTTTCGTATCCAACCATCTAATAATAAATCATCGTCCGATATTCCACGAGAAAAATACGAGAGAAATAAGAAAGAAAAGAGAATGGCGGAAATATCGTTGTGAATTCGAGAAACCCGTTAACGTGCTCGCGATCCTGTGGCGTGCACTGATTAACCCCAGAAGTACTCCTTTGATCTCGCCGCGGCGTGCTCGAGGAAATTAGAAACACTCCGCGAATTTACGTGAGAGCCAGTTTCACGTGGTATACGTGATGTGTGTGTATGTGTGTGTGTATGTGCGAGGAAACGTTCGCGACAACGAAGCCGATTCACGGGGGTTTTAGAAGGGGGTGCGACCAGTTCGAATCAAACGCGAACAGAGTTAATGACGCTATCAAGGAGAAACTTTCTCCTCGGTGTACGCACGGAAATTCGTGTGGATTCAACACTGGTGAAGAGGAATGCGCGTCGGTGAAGTGGAACTGGGAGGGGCGGGGAGGGATGCAAATCTACAGGGTGTTCCTGAATGCAGTTGTTCTAATCTGATTTATCCTCGGTCGAGGAATTTTAGGTATTTTTGAATTTTGAATCGGGGAATTTTTTGTCTGTACGGAGGTCGGGCTAGGTTTGCGTTATTGTATCCGACTTTTTGTGAAGTTTCGAACGTTTTTTTTTGGTTGAGGAATTTTTGAATTTCTCGACTGAATTTCGAGGAATTTTTACTTGTGCTAGTTGGGACAAGGATTATTGATATTTGTATGTTATTGTATTAATTCTTTTTGCAATAACTTTTTAGTAATTAAAAATAGAAAAATATATTTGATTTTATAATAATATTTTGGAGTATCTTTATTGTAAGATGAATTCATAGAAGAAAGAAAAATTATCTCTTAATTTTTCCATGAAAACTGTTCTATAGTTATACGAGTATAATAATCATAAAGTTATAGAAAAATTATGAAAGCTATGTTTTAAGACAAAAATTGTAATCATAAAAAATTATAAAAAATATATTAAATAGAAATATGAAGATAAAATCAAACTTCGTTGTTATTATTTCTTTTTGAAACATATTGCATGAAATAGAAATATAATCTTTAATTTCGCTCTCTGCTCCGATCTTAAATGATCCAATCATAGTTATACGAGATTTCATTCGCTTTCACAAGAAGAATACGAAATAATTTACAATAATAGGTGCGGAAATGAAAGAGAAATGGGTTGCTTTTCCTGGAATTGTTCGAAGCGAGACTATAACTTTGTTTCGTATGTAGGACTTGGTGAAGTCTGTTCCATGCACAGAGTGGTTCTAGAAACTGAACCAGGCTATAGATCTTTGTGTACGAAGGTGAAAAGAATTGGAAAATATTGGGGAAAGAATTTAAAGGGAAACACGTTGCCCATTGTGTGCGGAATTTCACTTATTATATATTTTTTTTAGAATTGTGTACGAATACAATACCACTCATTTCAACATAGAGAAAATTATCTATCTTGCCTCCAGACAAGGCAAAAGACATTTTCTAATCGAATAAAAGAATTTAAAGAAAAAAAAACGTAGAAGACATTATTATAATTATTAAATTTTTAACAATGTCTTCTCGCATTGCATTTTATCCTTTCTCATTTTAAAAAGTTTAAATTTTGCAAGAATAAGATTATAAAGAATCAATTAGATATCTACAGATCAATTTTTTCAAGAAATGTTTTCCTTAGATACTGCACAATTTAAAAAAAAAACTAAAAACTTTCGATATATTTATAAAATATAAATATAAGATTCTTATAAATATACAATATACAAAATATATTCAAAATATATTCCCTTTACTTATAAAACATTTCTCACTTTCCATATCATCCTATTAATTCAACCAATTCAAGATTATAATTTTACCACTCGTAAATTATTATCGAAAACGATAAACGTGGAAAACTTTAGACAAAGAATAAAAAGCAAATAAAAACGAAATAAATGAAACAGCCTGTATCCAAGAGCAAGAGTTCGGTGACTTGCGATGCCGTACACGCGCGACTCGCGTGCATCGGGGAGAAAAGGGGGTGGTTGGCGAGGGATAGAGCCGAGCATGCTGAATACGTCGAGTTCCCCGCGATACTCTGTAATGTCGTGAAGCATGTACTTACACACTACTGTAAGATTCTTCGAGCCGCTGGCCGTGGAGAAGGTCGGCGCGTCCGCCGTAACTTCGCAACTGAATTTACCCGAGAGGGCGAAGTTGACGTCGCGCAGGGTTACCTGGCTCTTGTTCGAGTTCTCCTCCTGAAACAGAGCAACGTGTGTGCAAAGTGAATGCAAATGGATGTATCAGCCTTGGCGTTATCGCCACGTTATCGCGAAAACGTTGCAGGAATCAACGATAAATACATTTACGTAGACCGGCTCGAGTTAAACTTCACAGTTAAATTTCGGTTCTGATTGTTTGATAGGAGAGTTTCGTATTAGTTTGTCTCGTTGTCGTTTAGAATTGAATACGGTTCATTTGTATTGTTTGTATTTAAGTTTGTTTTTGAAATGGAAGATCGAGTTGTGATATTAAGATGGTAGAACTGTGTATTTTTTTTTGTTTTATCGATATTCGATCGAGTGGAAATAATTGGTTCTGTTATTTTTTTAGAGGAATTTGCGTGAATGATTTGATTCCTTCTATTTTTCTAATTTTGATTTGAAATTCAGATGTTAATAGTGGTAGTTCGATAAAAGAATTCTCTAATAATTTTAATTTAATTATCATCGATTGTATTTGAATTTCCTCGTGTCAATATGATGAAATTTAATAATAACATCGTGTATATCTAATGAAATTTAAGATATGCAATTTGTAACATTCTATTTGATCATGTTTTCATAATATAGTATGAAATAATGAATATTACATAAAGTATTCTTACTTAATGTTTTGTTTATAACTATTAACAATAAAGGACAAATAATTTTATTAAATTTTGTATATAGATAAATGAAATCATTTATTTAAATTTATATATTAAATTTGTAGAATCATTAGCTTCGTCTGATTACAATTTATTTTTAAATTATAAATTGATAATGACGATTCTAATTTACTTATTATTATATGTATATTATTTCGTATACAACTGTCACAATTGTTTAAATTTATAATTCGATATATATAAAAGTATCACGAGACGAAACGGATTGACTCTAAATCCTTTCGCTTCCTTATATTTTATTGCAGAATCCATTTGAAATCCGACTTTTAGAGTGTACACATCAATTCAAGAGATCTTTCATGCCAGTGCTGTACCTTCCAGGTTATGCAATACCATATATCATGACTGTCAGGCATAAATATTGGATTTTCAACGATTTTTTTGTCAAATATTTTCCCCAGTAAATCATTAATTCCTTATTCCTGTGAATTATGTATAAATATAATTCTCTATCTCTAAATGTTATTACTATATCCTATATTTATATAACAATTGTAATATTATCAAATTGAAAAGAATACATTTTTCTAATTTTAATACTAATAAAAATTATTGGTGCTTAAAAAAAGTATTTATCAGTCTTATTCAAATACTAATATCTTGTGTATTAACATATCAATAGTTTTGTATTTTATAATATAATTAATGTTAATAGATGCACAGATATTAATGTTAATGTTCCATAATACAATACAATATAATACAATAACAATTGAAAATTAATTTTGGTACTCGTTATTATTGTTGTAATCTGATTCAACAGCTTTCTACATTATTCAGACAACGCAATGTTCGACAAGCTGATAATGACTAATAAATAATATAAAGTCATTATTACACGTGACGATCTAATCAGATAGATTTCTTTGTTTTTCCAATCTACATGAATGTGAGCATATATATCTATGGATAATTAATACGTAAATTAGTATTAACGATTGTATTTCGAAATGATAGCTGTTATTGGATGATCGAAATTTTCGAACGAAAGCTCATTATTTAAAACGAACCTACAAACCCAATGAGAATTCAATTTGCTCGTTGCAATTTACCGAATTAACAGTTTTGATAGCGTTATTTAATCGAGAAACAATTGTTTTGTTATTCATTTTTTTTTTAATTCTCATTTACATAGAATATTCTATTTTCTATTCGACGCTCAATTTAATTATTATCGGCATACGTAATATATTAATTTGATTTATTATATTAAAAACTTCAAATATTTCAAAAATGATAAAGATTAAAATTGAAAATTATTAATAATATGCAACGTAATTAAAAACCTTTTAGTAGATAGCAACGAGAAAATATTTTTACGAATGCATATGAAACGCGCAATTTTGAATAAGCTTTTAACCGATATTGATTATTAAATAAATAATATATCTGTCAGGATATTTAACAAATAAAGCGAATTTTGCAGAAGCATGAACAATACATTGAATTAATTGAAACAATATTGACAGGAAAAACAAATCATTAACAAAATTTCAAATGATCCATATCAATTTATTAAGTTTAAAAGAAATTTATTCGAAACAACATGCCCCATCAATATTTTCCCTATTTTTCAAACAGATCAGAAGTGATATCATTTCATATTCTTACAATTTTTTACAACTTTACATCAAAAATCGACCGAAAACTTTTATACCAACCATAACCAACCAGCTGTTATAAAATTATATTATCACCTCGATAAAGACTTTTATAACTCTTATCTAAAATCGAACTCTCTCCCTTCCCCCAAGATGTTAAACGTTTTCTCGCGCATTTCACGCCCGAATATAAAATTTCACACCGACCATTCCACGTGCATACGAGCGTAGAAATTCACCTGCTAATCGATATCCATGCAGCTCTACACATCTCAAACATCCGGATCTATATATATATATATATACCGGTTCGAGATTATTACCTCTGGGGACATCCGTCGTGTCACGAAATATTAAACGTTCGTTCTATATTCTATATTAAAAGAGACGGCGGGACCGTTTGTTGAAGTCGACAAAGGCTGCAAAGAGGCTCTCTTTCTTTCTTTTTCTTTCTTCTCTCCCCTCCTCTCCCCCCCATCCCTACCCCTTAAATGTTTCTCCGGTGACCAGGCAACGCAGAGCACTCGAGAAAATCGTCATCTTATCAGGAATTACCCTGCACTCGAGTAAATTGGCTCGATGAAGCGAGCGCGAAGGCCGAGACACGCGGGGGCGAGATAGCGGCGAAGGCGGGGCAGGAGCCTTCCCTCAGGAATAGTGGTGGAAGATCGTTTCATCATTACAGGCAAAGGAAAAATATGCATAATTAGCGGGATTTAAATAACGAAGGAGGAAGATATGCCGTTGGACGCGGAGTGGGAGAGAGAGAGAGAGAGGGAGAGGGCTTTTAACGGGGATGAAAGAAACGAAGAAGGAGGAGAGGGCTTTTTTCATCAAGCTTCGTTTGATTTATGTGTGTTAGGTGCATACGATGAACGCTGAGCGGCTAGGAAACTGTGGAAATAATTGTTCATTATGGAATCTTGAATTTTCTTCTCTGATTTGTTAAGATATGTATTAAGAAGCATGTACAATGGATGAGGTTTAGGAAAGTATTCTTTTTTTAAAGAAATTCAATTAAACTCTTATTTCTTTGTGAATTATTGTGTAATCATCTTCTTCGTTATTTAAGGATTTTAAGAAGATTTTAAATTATATAAATTGACTGTGAAATTGATTGTTATTATTGGAGATCAATGAATTATTTATTAAGTTTTGGTTTGAAGATAAGTGAAGAATAAAAATTTTTATGTAACTAAAGAAATCTTTGGTTTTAGAATGATTCAGTTTCAAATTTATTCAATGATTAAATACTAATTTTCTAATATCCGATATTGCAATATACCTTTACGCCATTATGCGTTCTCCCCATGTTTCACAGTAGATTATGCCTGTAATATTCAGACTCAGTTCTGTATTAAGCTTCTATCGCATTTTTCTAAATATCATAAAAACATTTATATGCTTTATCCTAAAGCAATTTTGCGAATCATATATATCATATTCAATAAAAAAGCAAAAAAAAAAAAAAAAAAGAAAAAAGA